TTGGGGATGGGGTTTATGTGTAGGGCATTCTGAAAGGGCCCCTTGGTTTTGGAATGGTCCCCTGGGGGGATTTTAAGTATACAGCTTTCCTCACTAAAGGGGTTTAGGTGTCGGAATTTCCAATACACATCACCCTGTGGGGTTTCATTATCCAGTAGGGGGGGGGGGGGGGCACTAAACGTAAACGTGAAAAAAATGCGAATCGACAGCCTCTACGTAGGCAGGGAAAGGCCGCCGAGCATGAAGGGCGGGCTTCCATATGCTGAAACAGGTCCGGCAATGTTCGCACGCCTTCCCTCCCGCAATGACAGAAAATCTCCTCCGCCGCATGGACACCTATCCGCACGGTGCATTCACACCAGATGTGAGACCATTTTGCATGCCCGGGTTCCTGTCCCGTAGTTAATGAGGCAGATGCATGCACCCATGGCGCACTGACCCATCGATCCAACGGGCACGAAGCGCCAGGTTCTCAATGATGTCTGCATCATTCTATGCAGAATCCGAAACACAGTCCGAGTCGGGTTTTAACGTCCAACACCTCTTTTGCATTCTTTCTCTATTCTGCACCTTCTGAGACAGTGACGCACCATTCGCGTCCCCCCCTCATGACAATGCCTTGCTCCCGCCAACTCTCCGCAACGTTTGGGTGCTCACCAACTCGATGTGACGGTGACAACCATGACAACGACAGCAGCCTACCGCAACAATGACGACGTTGGCCATACAGCAGTCGTTTCGGTACGCCCAATACTCGGCAAAAACTATCGATGCTGTACACTCAAAACTTGTAGACGTTACACCCAATCTCCGTTCCGCAGCATCTGAGGCAGGTAGGTAGGTGTGAGTGGCGCACCATTCGCAGGACCCCCCCGTGTTCTCCTCGTAACACCAACGCGATGCAACGGTCAACTCAAATGGAATCTGAGCAAAAATTAGTCGTTGTTACACCCAATCTCCGTTCTGCAGCTTCTGAGGCAGGTAGTTTTGAGTGAGGTACTGGAACCCGAAGGCCGAGAGGGACTGGATCTCCGCCTTTTTCTTTGACTTGATCATCAGCTCCAGCTCTCGGCACCACGGCTCGTTTTTCTTGATGAAGTCCTCCTGTGTCCCGTCAGTAGGCCGAGAGAGACACGAAGACAGGGGTCAGACGAACTGTCCCAATCGCTAGAGCCAAACGCAGACAGATGTCTGAGGAACTGTCTCGTCTACCATAAGGCCTGTGACATTAGATAGCGAGAGACGAAGACAGAGGTTCTGAGGAACAGCCTCGTCTACTGTCGTAAGGGGTCCTCTCCTCAGCTGTCCCTGGTCCTGGGGAAG